AGCCAAAAAAATAATAAAATACATTTTTGTGATTTCTAGGCGTGTTTGGACAGGATTTTATAAATAATTTTTGTTTAATTTTTGTTTTATCTTAAAAATGTCGTAAAAACTTATCTAAAAATCAATGTTTTCCATTTTTTTTTTGTTAAACATTGTAAGAACAAGAGGACAAAAATAATATTTTTTTTTTAAATTTAACTTTTAATATTTTTAACATAATTTTGCTTAATAAGTGCGTTTCTAGATCAAAATCGTGTTAAAACGCCTGAAAAATGCAAAAATAAAATATAATTTTTGCCTTAATTTGTTGATTTGTTTTAGCGAAAATTTTTGAAAAACCTGAATTTTAATACAAAAACTTGATTAAATAAATTGTCGACTAAATTTTGTGTTTTCTCGACTTATTTTTGACTTTTTGCTCAAAAATCAGTTAAATCGAGCGGAATAAATGAAAAAAACATCAATTTTAATTATTGCTTAGGCGTGTTTGGACAAGATTTTGCAAAATAAATAAGTCTCCAGTTCAAAATTGAGCGAAACAAGCTAAAAAAAATTATATTTAATTTTTTTACCGTTTGAACGAAATTTTTTGAACATTTTTTGCTTTTAATTTAAAACGTTTTTAAACTCGAAAAAAGCAAAAATAACATTGTTTTTGACCAATGCAAGAATTATATAATGTTTGACTTAATTTGTTGATTTGTGTTAGCGAAATCTCGTGAAAAACCTGAATTTTAGTACAAAAACTAGAAACGGTGGTCAAATCCTAGCCGCTCGTCCCTTGTAGAATGCAAAATATTAGAATATTAGAATTAAATTATTGAATTTGTGTTATTATTTTAGTTCAAAAACGTGCTTAAAAGCATTTTGTTTTCACGACTTTTTGTTTTAACTTAATTCGAGCGAAATAAACGAAAAAATATCAATTTCAATTTTATTTTGTAAATTTTCTCTTTTTTTTTTTTAAACTCATCAAAAACTGAGCTGAACAAGGGGACCAAAAACTATTTAAATTTTAATTAGAAAACACGATGTTTTTTTCAGTTGAGGACATTTTAGGCCATAGTTTTAAGGCTTTTTTTCATTTTAGTTGTCATTAATTTTTCATTAATTCTCTACATACAGGGTGAATATAAAGTATGGAACCAAGCAGTTTTATTTTTAATCATTTGCTCCCAGAAAATAATAATTAATATGAATTAAAGTAGTATAAAAAATGTGATGTAATTTTTCAACCTGTTTGGACGTAATTTTTTGAACATTTTTTGCTTTCAATTTAAAACGTTTTTAAACCCGAAAAAAGTAAAAATAACATTGTTTTTTACCTCTTTTTGAAAAAAATGCCGAGTAATTGCATTTTTATTTGAATATCGTGCTAAAACGCTCGAGAAATGCAAGAATTATATAATTTTTGACTTAATTTGTTGATTTTTTTTGATTTGTGTAGTACAAAAACTAGAACGGTGGCTCGTGTAGAAGGCAAATTATTAGAATTAAATTATTGAATTTTTGTTATTTTAGTTCAAAAATGTGCTTTTTTCTCGACTTTTTTTTTAAATTTAATTCGAGCGAAATAAACCAAATTACATCAATTTTTATTTTGTAAGATTTTTCTTTTTCTTTTAAAAACATGCTTAAAACTTATTAAAAAATTAAAGATTTTTTTGTTAAAAACTGATGTAAACAAGGGGACAAAAAACCATTTAAATTTTAATTAGGAAACGGGATATTTTTTACAGTTGAGGACATTTTAGGCCATAGTTTTAAGGCTTTTTTCATTTTAGTTGTCATTTAATTTTTCATTAATTCTCTATATGTTAGCAACTAGTTTTTAACTTTTCTTTTATGTTTTGTAAATCTTTTGAATTAAGAAAATTGAATTCCTTCTCTGATAGTTGAAAAACTATTAAATGAAAATAATTTTGGGACATTTGGGACACCTGTAGATATTTTGTGATTTTTTTTAAAATCAGTTACGAATTGCTGAGACGTTCAAGACTCGAATTTTTTAAATCTTGATTTAATCAGTGTGATTAGTGATTTAAAAAGTTGAAATTTTGCCACACCAATCGTTGCGAACAATTTGGAGCAGGTAAATGATGGTATAATAAATAATGTTGGTTTGAGTTGGTCGTTTAGAGAGATGTTTGAAATGGATGGGAATCGTCCTGAAGTTGTTATATGTGCACGATTTGTAGGAATGAAATTCCCGACAACGCCGCCGGCCCGCCGCAAACACCTGACCGGAATTCAAAATCCAGTATTGTTGTCTGAATCGTTTCCCTTAACCAAAAGCAAATCGCATGAGTCGCAATTGGCAAAAGGCGATAACGGTGAACTACCACCACCACCACCACTACCACCACCACCAAGCGGTGAAAAGGGTTCTGGGAAGCGGTCGAGGTTACCGACTGAGCCAGGACCTGACACTGATTACACAAGTCCGATCCTGACCAGTCCCATTAAGTCACCCCCGTATAATAACACAGGAACTGATAGTGACGACAATAGTTACAAATGTGAGTGTGATAAATCACCACAATGTGGCCACAGATTATCCGTTGATAACAGATATGTCACAATGACCTTGGTGGTCGACTGTGATTGGCTAATCCAAACTATGCCGTTTTTATAGTCCGGTCAAAATAAACATTTTAAATAACTAAAATTTCGACAGAGCTAAATTTTGGTGGAGATATTGAGTACACCATTAGGAATAAAGTGTCAAAAGTCCCCATCGATCCCATGTGTGCTAAAAAAGTTATTCGGGGTCAAATGTCAAAATTTGACGTTTTTTTCGAAAACGGTAAGTTTTATCAAAAAAGTAGCCCAGTCAAAAAATATAGATCTTGAAATTATCTACAAAATGGTCCTTATACTTTTTTTTTAACAATCACCATTCCTGAGATATCGCGATTCTAAAAGTTGAAGGAGTCACGTTCTACATGGTATGCACATACAGAGTGCGTCAGAACTCCCGCTTCAAAGACAAATGTCATGTAGGGTAAGGTACCACAAACATAGAAAAAATTAAAAAAAAAATCTATCTATAAAAGTTTCAAAGTTATGAGAGTTTAAATTTTGCACTTTGACTCTATTTATTTCTGTAGGGAAAATAATTTTCCAAGTTTTTTTGCTACAGGCCATTAGAAGAAGAAACTAAAAAGCTGTGTCCTAAATTGTAACTCTGTTCAATGTTATTTGTGGCTTTTATTGTACCTTTACTAGATAATTGTAAAAAAACATATACAAAATCATCAGTATTATTAAATAGACATAAAAAATAGTCAAATGTCAAAAAACAAATGTCAAATGTTTTTGACAGATAGAATTTTTTAAACATTTTTTTATGTTCCTGGTATCTTATTTTACTTGAAATTTTTCTTCTACTTCATTAAACTTATAAATATCTCGATTCCATTAGAATTACAAAGAATTTATTTGGTAATACATACAGGCTGTTCAAAAAATCGCGCATTTCCTTGAAAGGGAGTAATTGGGTAGTCCCCAGAGTACTGAAAAAATGTTTAAAAAATTCTATCTGTCAAAAAATTTTGACATTTATTTTTTGACATTTGTCATTTTTTTATGTCTATTTAATAATACTGATGACCTTGTATATGTTTTTTTATAATTATTTGATAAAGGTACAAAAATTTTGTCAATAAAAGCTACAAATAATATTAAACAGAGTTACAACTTAGGATACAGCTTCTTTGTTTCCTTTTCTAATAACCTGTAGCAAAAAAACGTGGAAAATTATTTATCCTACAGAAATAAATAAGAGTCAAAGTACAAAATTTAAACTCTCATAACTTCGAAATTTTTATAGATAGAATTTTTTTAATTTTTTTTATGTTCCTTACCCTACATGGCATTTGTCTTTGGGGCGCGAGTTCTGGCGCACTCTGTATGTGCATATGATGTAGAACGTTACTCCTTCAACTTTTAAAATCGCGATATCTCAGGAATGGTGATTCTTGGAAAAAAAGTATAAAGACCATTTTGTAGATAATTTTAAGATCTATAATTTTCGTCTGAGCTACTTTTTTGATAAAACTTGCCGTTTTCGAAAAAAATCTAAAAAACGTCAAATATTGACCTTTGACCCCGAATAACTTTTTTAGCACACATGGGATCGATGGGGACTTTTGACACTTTATTTCTAATGGTATACCCAAGGTCTCCACCAAAATTTAGCTCTGTCGGAATTTTAGTTATTTGACCACTATTTTTATGACTAATTTGACCGGACTATTATGAATGATTTGGATTAGTTTTTTTGGTGTGATTGTTGGGGAAGAAAACTATTCACCAGTCTAACTTTCCGACTAACTAAAGTCTGTTTTTTTTTTTTTTAATAGAAATGCCAAACAGACTTAACGTTGGCATCACTAGTAAATAGTCCGGTCAAAATAGACATTTCAAATAACAAAAATTCCGACAGAGCTAAATTTTGGTACACCATTAGAAATAAAGTGTCAAAAGTCCTCATCGATCCCATGTGTGCTAAAAAAGTTACTTGGGATCAAAGGTCAAAATTTGAGGTTTTATGGATTTCCTTCGAAAATGGTAAGTTTTATCAAAAAAGTAGCCCAGACAAAAAAGATAGACCTTAAAATTATCTACAAAAAAGGTCCTGATACTTTTTTTTCTAAGAATCACCATTGCTGAGATATCGCGATTTTAAAAGTTGAAAGAGTCACTTTCTATATACATAGTGCGCCAGAACTCGGCCCCCCAAAAAAACGCCATGTAGGGTAAGGTACCAGGAACATGTAAAAAATTTCCTCTTTTTGATTACAATTTTGTTGGCAGATCTGTTGGTAAACGGTTAATCTGTGGTGTGGCGTTGTTTCTGATTGGTTTTGTTATGTTGTTGGTTGTAGCAGCGCCGAGTCTTCAAGTGCCGAAATCGCCAAGGACACCGACACCAGTAGGCCGAAGTATGACACATCAGATAAATCATAGATTTACGAAAACGTTTAAAATGATTGCGACTTGTGGATATTGTCAAAAACCGATTTATTTCGGTGCTGGATTAAAATGCAAAGAGTGCAAATATACTTGTCATAGAGAGTGTGAGGATAGGGTTACGCCATCGTGCGGTTTACCACCTGAACTACTCGATGAATTTAAAAAGAAATTGTCATGTGAAGTACAGGTTTTTCCCTCGCCTAATCCGAGTAGGGCTAGCAATACGAAAAATATTATCAATTCGCTTAGGATTAGGAAGAGGTCGCATCCGCAGCCTTCGATCAACATTGCGCCGTTTCCGGTAAGAGATTTTTTACTGTGAAGTAGGCTTTAATGTCAAATTTGACATTTCGTTACGTCAAAATGACAGGTACATCATTCATTATCTAAAGGCCGTTTCACAAGTTGCCAGTGTTGCCAGCTGAAAAACATTAATTAATTAATAACCAGATTTCAAGATTACGATTTACATTTTTGTAATAGTATCGAAAGTTTAAGCCTAAAAATCAGATAAAAACAAGATATATTTTTTTATATTAATTTAGTGATTTTTGACTCAGTAAAAAAACGGAGTTTTTAAGCTTAAAAATCTGTTTAAACTCTTGTAACAAGTAAAAATGACATTATTTTTGGCTCTAACAATGTTTTTTCGAATAAAAGAGTTATAATATCCGAAAAATTCAACAGTAGTATAATTCTTGACTTAGTTTGTTGATTTTGTTTGCTTTTTTTCTCTAAAAACTTGAGTTTTAGTACAAAAATGTACTGAAAAGCATTTTCGATCAAATTTTATGTTTTGTCACCTTATTTCTGACTTAATTTTGCTCAAAAACCAGTTAAATCGAACGAAATGTGTTTCAAATTTTTCACACTATGAAAATTCACTGTGAAGCAGGCTTTAACGTCAAATTTGACATTTCTAAACCTCAAAGTGACAGGAATATCCTGAGTGACAAGTTCATTATCTAAAGGTGATTTCACATGTTACCACTGTTGCCAGCTGAAAAAAAAAATAATTACCACATTACAAGATTGCAATTTAGATTTTTGTAATAGTATCGAAGGTTTACGTTTTTTTACATAAACTGAATGGTTGAAATACAAAAATGTGCACAAAACCATTTTTGATCAAATTTTGTATTTTGTCGAATTTTTTGACTTAATTTTGCTGAAAAAACAGTTAAATCAAGCGAAATAAACGAAATATGTATCAAATTTTTGACACTCTAAAAATGTGAAGCAGGCTTTAATGTAAAATTTGACATTTTAGAACGTCAAAATGACAGAAATATCAGCAGTACTGGTAAGATTATTATATCTAAAGGTCGTTTCACAAGTATTCAGTGTTGCCAACTCAAAAAAAAATTCACCACATCCGAGTTGAAGAAGTTGATAAATTTACACCTATTTTCACCAGATCGTAAGAGTACGATTTAAATCTAGAAATCTAGAAAATAGCGCTTAAAATTTATGTATTTTTACATAAACTGAGTGGTTAAAGACTAAACATCAGATTTTTTTTATAATAATTTAGTGATTTATGACTCTGTAATAAACGGAGTTTTCAGCTTGAAAATCTCCTTAAACTTTTGAAAAAAAAAAAGACTTTATTTTTGGCTTAACTCTGTTTTCTCAGCTTATTTTTTTACTTCATTTTGCTAGAAAAACAAAAAAATTTAGCGAAATAAATAAAATACCTATTTAATTTTGACATTTTTTGAAAATTCACTGTAAAGCAAACTTTAACGTTAAATTTGACATTAAAAAAATGTCAAAATGACTATAATCACTATAAATGACAAGTTTAAAGAGAGGTTATTATCTAAGGGCCGTTTCACAAGTGATCAGTCTTGCGAACTCAAAAAAAAAAATTACCACATCTGAGTTTAAAAAAGTTACCTATTTTTACCAGATTACAAGATTACGATTTAAATTTTTGTAATAGTGTCGAGAGTTTATGTTTTTTTTCATAAACTAAGTAGTTAAAGCTTAAGAATCAGATAAAAATATAAAATATTTATTTTTATTACAATAATTTAGTGATTTTTTCACTCTGTAAAAATGTAGTTTTGTACTTAAAAATCTGCTTAAATTCTCGAAAAAAGCATAAATGACTTCATTTGCCTTGTTTTTTTTTTACAAAATTTTGCGAAATAATTGTGTTTCTAGCTGAAAAACTTGTTAAAATGCCCGAAAAATGCAACAATAGTTACAATTTTTGACTTAATTTTTTGGTTTTTTGGTTTGTTTTGACGAAATCGTACGAAAAATTTGAATTTTAATACCAAAATGTTCTGAAAAGCATTTTTGATCAAATTTTGTGTATTGTCGGTTTATTTTTGACTTAGTTTTACTCATAAAACTAATTTTTGTGATTTCTAACCGTTTTTGCAAAAACGAATTCAAGCGAAACAAGTTTAAAAATAATATCAATTTTGAAATTTTTCAGCCGATTAAAACGAAATTTTTCGATTTTTTTTATTTGTAACTCAAATGCGTACTTAAACACTTAAAAAAGATAAAAATAATATAATTTTTGACTTAATTTGTTGATTTTTTTGGTTTGTTTTAGCGTAATTTTGAGCGAAACAAACTAAAAAATAGTTTCAATAGTAATATTTCATCCAATTTAATCGTATTTTTTTGAATTTTTGTTTTTAAAACACTTGTAAAAGGGAAAAATAACATAATTTTGGGATATTTTATTAAATTTGGTGTTTATAGCTAAAAAACAATCAAATAGGGTAATTGGTAAAACATAACCAAAAATTAAAATTTGACAGTTAGAAACGTCAATATGACAGTTAATGACATTGTTTTTTCTATTTCAGTAGTTACGAAAAAAATCCCCAAAGTTCAGCGACTTTGCTGATTTTGCTCTCTATTTTTTTATAATACTAGTCATATTTTGCAGCTGTTAGCTGTTGTCAATTCCTTTAATTATGATCTATGATGGTATAAATATCGTGACAATTTAAATAATTTAAATGGATTTTTTTCCAGCCTCCTGATTCAAGTTCGAACACATCAAGTTGCAATAGCTCAACACCTTCCAGTCCTGCTGTTCTACCAATACCAACACCTCATGCTAGTCACAAACAACAATTTTCTTTCCCTGGTGATTAAAAAAAAAAAATGTAGTAAAAAATTTATGAATTAATTCTAGATTTAGCTCATAATGAATCGAACGAAATAACGATCGAAACCGACTCATTGACCACTCACCATCACGATCAACAGTCACGTGACAGTGATCGTACCGCATCTGTTTCGGGAAGTACCGATTCGGATAAAACACCAGTCCGTGTAGATTCACAAGAAAGTCAAGTTTCAGACACTGAAACGATCACAGATGGTCATAGATGGCCGCGACAAAATAGCGTAAGTGTTTTGTTTGTGTGGTAAAAATGGCGACCGTGACGGCCATTTTGTAGATGTCAATGCGTGAATGGGATATTCCATATGAGGAGTTGAAAATGGGGGAGGTAATAGGGACGGGGCGATTTGGTACTGTCTACAGGGGGTATTGGCATGGTGACGTTGCTGTTAAAGTACTCAATATGAGTTATCTCAGCGATGAAAAGACTTTAGAACAGTTTAAAAATGAAGTGTCAACGTTTCGAAAAACGCGTCATGAAAATGTGATTTTGTTTATGGGGGCGTGTATGCAGCCCCCGAAATTGGCCATTGTGACGAGTTTGAGCAAAGGCATGACTTTATACACACACATACATTTGAGGAAAGATAAGTTTAATATGAATAAAACGACAATCGTCGCTCAACAGATCTCACAGGTGAGAGAATTGGGGGAATCACAGAGGTATTAATTGTTTTTTTTTGCAGGGAATGGGTTATTTGCATGCGAGAGGCATTGTTCATAAAGATCTAAAAAGCAAAAATATTTTCCTAGAAAATGGTAAAGTTGTAATAACCGATTTTGGTTTGTTTAGTGTTACGAAATTGTGTTTCGGAAATCGGTAAATAATTTTTTTGTGTGTGTAAATTATTACTAATTTTGTGTGTTTTTTTTTATAGACAAAATGATGGTTTATCGATACCTCCAGGTTGGTTGTGTTATTTATCACCGGAAATTATTAAAAAATTGCACGCTCATCAGTTACATGCCGAAGAATTGCCGTTTAGTAAAGCATCGGATGTTTACGCTTTTGGGTAAAAAAATTTTTTTTAATTGAACAAATTTTATTCGCAATGTATCAATTTCATACTGGCTGAAATTATTACATACCCAAAAAAATATTGCATATTATCTGACATTTATAGTATTCAGAAATTAACTAAAAATAGTATATTATGTGACAAGGTTCGAATTTTTTTTTTAGTCTAATAAATGCGAGGTTATAAAAATAAGATTTTGCCAAAAAATAGCCTCTGGTTCAAAATCGAAGTATCAATTTCGTGACTGGGAAGTAGGCCATTACTGACTCGCCGAGAAATTATTACATACCTAGAAAAATAGTGCATATTATCTGACATTGTTTTTTTATGCAAAATTTATAATATTCAAAAATTAACTAAAAATAGTATATTATATGACAAGGTACGAAATTTTTTCTTTATAGCCGAGCTGTGTATTAATAAATGCGAGGTTGTAAAAATAAGATTTTGCCAAAAAATAGCCTCTGGTTCAAAATCGAAGTTAAGTGAAATCAGCTGAAAATAATAGTTTCTATTTAATTTTTCAATCTGTTTAAACCAAATTTTTGTGTTTTTTTCTCAAAAAGTGCAGCATTTTTGATTTATTTTATTAAATTTTGGCTTCTTTTTTAAGGAAATTTGGCGAAATATTGTGTTTCTACTCAAAAAAGCATTTGAAAAAAGCTAAGGTAAATTGGCATTTTTGACCATGTTTAATAAAATCTTGTAAAAAACATACTGAATTATTTTTAACTAATTTAAAAAAATTAATTCTCACTTAAAATTCAAATTGTATTGCATGTTTTTTCGATTTATTTTTGAGAAACTTTGACGAAATGATCAATTTGGTATCTGAAAACGTGGAAAATGCTCGAAAAGAAAGAGTGTTTTTATTTTAATATTTTTTTTTAGTTTTTTAATTTTCAAAAAATTATCAGATATTAAAAGTTTATATCAAAACGCATGAAAATCAACATATATAGTGAAATTTTATCAAATCTGGCAACACTGCATGTAATGGTAAAAGTGTTTCACATTTTTTGTTCGCAACGGTACCAACGTTAAGGCTACAACTAAATGTCTAATCAAATTATCTTTAAAATTAAGTTGGCAACATTGCATAATGTAAAAAAAAATTCAAAAGCGCTTATTTATGTCTGCAGATTAGGTTGCATAATTTATTTACCAACGGACATGCAACATACAGGGTGAATAAAAAGTATGGATTCAAAAATTTTTTTTGTTTACTGAAAATAATTAATAAAAATTAAAGTGCTGTAAAAAGTGTGATTGTGTTTTGAGAATGAAATTTCGTTTTGTTTTTGAGTTTTTTTTTGTCAATATGCAACATGTGAAAAAAAAAATTTGATAAAAATTGAATATAAATTAGATAACCTTTATGAAAAAAATAGTTTTGTGGTGGGTTGCCATTCAAAAAAAAATTTTTGCAAAACTCAAAACAAAAAAATTGATTTTTGATAAAACCCATTTTTATAATACTTTATAGTACATTAGTTTTTTCAAAATATGAATAGTTTAAGCAAAAAAAAAAACGTTTGGTTCTCTCTTCTTTTTTTTATAAAATATTCAGAAATCAACAAAAAAATGTATATTTACATTACATTACAAGGTAGAGAAGAGATTTTTTATAGCCGAGATGCGTAGCATCGAGGGAAGTAAAAAATCCGGTGCTATAAAAATCTTTACTGTGTTTTTTATTTTTATTTTACTTTTTTTTTACAATTTTTAATGAGGAAGTTTATTTTTTTTTTATTTGATTTTGCATTAATTTCATCTCGAAATACTTTCATTAGTACTTGTGATAATAATAGTTTTCAATGATATTCTAGAAATATTTGTATCAATATCTCTTGGTCAATGATGAAAATAATTTTTGACTACTAAGTTTACAACTCAAATAATGGTACTTTTTACAACTAGTAGTAAAACAAATTAAATTATGACAGTTATAAATTGACATTTGATGATTGCGAATAAAATAGTATACAAACCTCCATTTCAATAAAACTCTTCCTCATCGTTGTGTAATATACTATTTATCGTAATTGTTTTTAGTACTGTTTGGTACGAATTATTATGCAGCGAATGGCCGTTTAAGTCACAGCCGCCTGAGGCAATAATTTGGCAAGTTGGAAAAGGTATGAAACAACCATTGGCGAATCTTCAAGCTTCTCGCGACGTTAAGGTAACCAAATAATAAAAAAAAAAAAATCAAATTGTTATTTATTTGGTTTTAAGGACATTTTGATGCTGTGTTGGTCGTATCGCGAAGAGGATCGTCCCGATTTTATCCGACTTGTGAATATTTTAGATAAATTACCGAAAAAGCGTCTCGCACGAAGTCCCTCTCATCCGATTCATTTGTCACGTTCGGCCGAATCGGTCTTCTAAAACTGAGCAAAAGGAGCCCCCAGAGTCCAGAGTTGGGTATATAGAGGGCGTGGGCGCCACCCCCCACTACTAATTTGTGAATCTCAAAACGCATGCGTATTGAGACATCAATTAGGGGTGGGGAGTGGTGACAGAAGCCGTCTATATAGGGTGGTACAAAAGTCTAGAAATGATTTTATTCAGGCGAAACTATCAATTTTTTTGCCAAATAAATTTATAGGTGTGCAATGGCTATAAAAATGCTATTCAAATTTTTTTTTAAATATTAATTAATTGTTTATACTTACGAGATAAACATAGTAACAATTTTTTTTTAAATGGAAATCTACGACAAATTTTTTTTTTAGACAACGAGCTTGTTACAAGAATTGTCACTGTGCAAAAAATTTTTTCGTAAATCTCACACTTGTGTGTTAAAAAAAATGTTTGACTTTATTGCACTAGAGATTAATGCAGGTAGAAATAGAAATATTTAAATCTGAATTATTTGTGGAATGCTCGAGAAACCATCGAACCTTATCGTAAGGGTTAATATCAGATAATTATAATGTATTTTTTTATATTATTTAAAGATATTTTAGTGCAATTTAGGATTTTTTAAGTGGTAACAAACTTCCAACATCGAAAGACAAAAATTTATAGCGAACTAAAAATTTAAACAATAGTCAAAAAACGTTTTTATGACAATTGTCATATATATATTTTGACAAACTACACAATTTAATATTATAACAATAAAAAAACTTGTAAAATTTTTACATGTTATTTAATTATAAAAGTGGTCACTTTTGTGACGTTTGCGGATAAAAAATTAAATATGTTCAACAAATTTTCATATTTTTACTTAAAAAGCTTAACAAAACTTGAAGAGTGGGATTAAACGCTTGTTTCATAAATTACTTGTGCCAGAAAATTATGAACTTTACTTTTAAAATAAGATTTTAAAAAATTCTTATACTTTTTTTCTAACTTTATTATTATTAAATTTTATTTGTTAATAACTATACTTTCAAAAAAGTGTTATTGAGATGATGTTAAAATTGCAATACTTGAAAATTTACGTTTCTTTAATGTTTTCGATTTTTAAAGCTAAATTATTTATGTTTAGAAAAAGTTTTTCAAAATACCGGGTGACTATTAATGTTTCTAACAAATAAATCTATTTGCAACACTGAATTATTGGTAATTTTTCTAGTTTGAGAATGACAAGTATCTATAAAAGTTTCACGTTTTTATTTAAGAGTCAAGGTTGCCCAACTAAGATTTCAAATTTGATAAAAATATACAATCATTTAGAGACATCCGGTACAAAAATCTTTTAATTTTTTATAGAATATAATTACCATTTATAATAATAATAAAGTAAAATGGATGTTTTTTTTTTTTATTTAAAAATCTTAACAAAACTTAGATTATTATTAATGTTAAGATAAATTAGCTATAAAATTTTAAAACTTCAAAATATTGTTTTGTTTACATATTTTACCTGGCAATCTTCTCTGGGGCGCCCTGTATGTGCCAACTTTTGAAGCAACTTTGTCCAAGTTGTATATTTTGCATACGTAAAGACTATGAAAGCACAAAAAACAATTTTTTTGTCTAAAATTTTCGTATTCACTGAACTGTTCATTATTAAGCCCGGGTGCTGTGGAATTAATAAAAATTAAATAAGAAAAAGGGTCGTACTGCTTTTTTATGAAAAAAATTATTAGTATGATAATCTCAAATTAATTAAAATAAAAAATATTTTGGTATCGCTTTTTTACAACCTTTAAACATTTATTAATTAATTTCCAAAAAAACTGGTAGTTTACTCAAACAAAAATTTTTTAACTCTTGTAAGTCAAACAAAAGTGTAAGGTTTACAAAAAAAAATTTGCCAGCAACAATTCTTGTAACAAACTCGTTGTCTAAAAAAAATGTGGTAGGTTTTTTTCAAAAAAAACTGGTAGTTTACTCAGAAAAAATTCTTAATTAATTAAAATTTAATTCATTTTTGTAAGTCAAATATTTTTTTAACAAAGAGTGAGGTTTAAAAAAAATTGCACAGCAACAATTCTTGTGACAAGCTCGTTGTCTAAAAAAAAATGTGGTAGGTTTCCATAAAAAAATTAATGTTAAATTTTTTTTGAATAGCATTTTTATAGTGATTGCACACCAAAAAAATTAATAGTTTCGCCAGACTTTTGGACCATCCTGTATATACTACTCTTGTTGTGTGTTTGTTACTTTTTGTAATTTTTGCCTTGTACAAAAGAGAAGGATTGTGCTTATGATGTTCTATTTTTAAGTACGACGAAATGAAGCGTTTTGTTGACTACAGAATCGGGTTTGTGTCCGATTCTGGTTTGTTTTTTCCCAGTATTGCATTTTACTGTGATCTTTAATAATGGAATCGCAAAGGAGTTTAGTATTATTTCGGAAGTTGCCGATTGTTTGTCTTGATGTTGAAAAGTGAACAAATGTTATTTGTTAGAATAGTGCCTGTTTTAATTAAGTTGAGGTGACTTCTTGACTCGTCTGCCCTTTCCCCCCCTTGCAGTTGCGACGATGTAAATTTGTATATTGCGACTGAGTGGTGATTTAACTGCACTTTCGACTGTCATTTAAATTATTTTTCTCAACCACTGTAAATTTATGTAAATAATGATGCGATTTAGTCGTTTTTTCGACGACTCTGTATATATGTTAAAATGCATTCCCACGATGTTTCTGTCACTCTAGTCAATTTACAATACACAAAGTCGGGGCGTAAACGTCCACTTTAAGCCCCGATTTTGCCCCCATACTTATACATTCTGATCTGCAGTCAATGTACATTATTAAGGGATTAGGGTAATAAACTATTATACAACATAGTCAACTCCTTTATTCACTACAAGGTAAAAAAGTTGTCACTAGTGTCTCAACAGCCCCATGTTATTGGCGATATGTTTGCACTTGGTCGAGATCTCTTCGTGCACTAGACTGAAGCACATCGCGACGACGACGAGTCCCAGAAACAGGTATAAACAGCACGCGAGGAGTTGCAATTGCGAGTGAGTGTCCCCACTTTGGGGCAATTTGTCGCCGATGCCGATGGTGGAGAGGGCGATGAAGCAGAAGTAAGTGGCGTCGAGGAAGTTCCAGCCGCTGGCGGAGGCGAAAGCGGCAGCCCCCATGCACACGTACGAAAAAAATACAACCAAAACGAGGCTGGCAGGCACTGATGGTGGCGGGGGCGACGGGGGCGGCGACTCGGGCCGCCAGATCAGCGGCACGCGCGACGGCGTGTCGTGGATGCACGTCCTGGACAAAAAAAAAATTAGTTATGCAACCAACAATACCCCGGCACTAACTCAAACCAAACTTTAAATTCAAAGTTTGTTTCAATCATCTGATACTACAGAATGTTCCCTTGACTTTATCAAAGTATAAGAACAATAAATAAGTGATTTTCTAGTAAAAACTCGTCTAAATGGTTTGAGGTTAGACAACCAAATATACACTTTAAAATTTTGACATTTGTTATTTTGACACACAACTCTTGTTATTAAATTTTTTTTTAATTAATTAACGTAGTCAATATTAAAATATCGTTATAAATTCTCGTTTTGTATGAATCTGCGTTTATTGTCAATTTTTTAATTGGGGCTATGCAACCAACAATACACCGTTGGCCTTACACGTGTTCGCTGTCGTCGCCCTCGTCGGCGTCGTCGACATCCGACGTCGCCCCCACAATGAGGGAGCTCTTCGTCGGGGTCCCATGCCCCCCATGCGTGGGACAAACCGTGGAGTCCGTCAACATTTGTCTCACTTGAGTTTGTCTGCAGCGCCCCCTCGAATGACTTGACCGTACTGTTGCCAAAATGGCCCTTTTGGGGATTTCCCCGTGTTCTACATGCTGGTAACTGCTTTTACACACGTGGTTGGGGGTACTGTGCGAAGATGCGATCTGAATTGAAGCCGAATCTTAAAAAAAAACAACAATTTTGTATTAATTATAGAAGAAATGAAAATTTTTGTTTACCTTCGTGTGTTTTGCAATATAGTTTGGCTGAAGGACTGGAAGGCGCCTTGTGGTAGCCCACGGAGGGGCTTTTTCGGCCGGTGTCGTGGTGGCAGCAGATTTTTGAGTAGGCCTTTTTAGCCCCCGAAGCGAGCATTGCCCCCAAGGCCGAGAGGAGGATCAACATTAAAGGGACGCCGATTAGGGCGTAGACCACGGCCACGATTTTACCCAGTGCGGTCCTGGGCGACAAACGACCATACCCTTAAAAAAATAAGTATTTTTTTTCTATTTCCATGAACTTTTTAGTACAAAAAAGGACGAGAATAAGTGCTAAAATTAACTTAACAGTTAAGAAAAATTGCATAAAAAACGGAAAATATGCTCATAATGTTTTTTAAAGAAAACTTCAGTGCATTCAAAACAAG